CCTTCCCGCCCTGCAGCAGCTCCCGAACTGTCGCTGCAGCAGCTCCAGAGCCCAGCGCCCCGAGGCCAGCCCCAGCGACGCCGCCGCCGCCGCCTTCTTCCATGTTGGCAGGTGCCGGGTTGATGACGTCAGCGGCAAGGCCGCCCCGCCCAGGTGATGACGCAGAATCCCAGCGCCGCCCGCCCGCCTGCCTGCCGGTGGCTCCAGGCCTACCCGGATAACCGACTTGGAGGCCGCGTCTGAACCGCGCCTGCTGAGAGCCGCGTGGGTACCAGAGCCGGCGGACAGCCCGGGGCCCGGGCGCGCGGGACCTAGCGCACCGAAGAGGCCGAGGCCGCAGGGCCGGCGCTCTCTGCTGTCTCGCGCCGCAGCTCCGAGCCGCGCCCCCCGTTGCCAAGACCGAGAAGGCGGTGGCGACCAAGGAGGAGGTGAGGACCCAGGAGGAGGTGGGCACCGGATCGTGGCCGCAAGCACAGATCTTTAAAGCAGGTCAAACCTGAGAGCAGGTTCTCGCGGCGCAAGGCAAGCGAGGCAAGCGGAGGTTTCTGGGAGCTTCGTTTGCACCCAACACGCACAGCTGGCAGGAGTTAGTTGCTACATAATAGTATCTGTCCCGTACTTTGACTGGTAATCCTGGGGTAAAAGCCCGTGGGAAAAGTTGCCGGGGATGAACAATGAGGATAATTAGGGAGCGTCAATGAAGAAGGAAGACTGATCCGTGAAAAACATGTAGTACTCGCTTTCCCTGCCCTCCCTGCCAAGAAACCTTGAGCTTTTTTGCTTGTTCTATCTTCCTCTAAGTTTAAGCCACGTGCTATGAGGGACACCAGACTTTTTCTTAGTTGCAAACTGATAGATTGTCCATTTCTCAACTAACCGTATCGACACTGTAAAATCATCAGGTGCTGTGAAGTATATGGATTTATTCCAGCAAATCCAACCTTTGCACATTGATATCATGGTTCTCATATCTTCTCAGCTAATACATCTGCATGATTGACCTAGATTTTTTGTAAGACAAATGCTGATAAATTAATAGGATCCACCACACGTATGCAAAAATCTTAAGCATTTCTTCGCAAAAAGAAAGAAGCTATAATAGAACTTTGCCATTTTGTAAAGTAGGTATGTACCCAGTAACTAACTTTTTACAATTACTGAGCTACATATTTTTCTACATTCCACTAACAGTATTTCAAGAAGGTGCTGTTACCCTGTATGAAATGCTGTTTTAAAGTACTTTATACATCTTATACGTATTTAATACTCCTAACAGCTCAGATGAGCAGGTGTCATGCTGCATTACACTGTGCTTTTTCCTTGTCTCAGAGGATTTTCTCTAATATAATTTATTGGACCGCAATCATGATGCAAATAGGATTGATTCAATCATTATCTGTGCATTTGTCTGTAATTGACTTGTTATTCCTTCCTGCCCCCCTCATTGGAAGATTTTAGAAAAGTGCATAATATTCATTTCTACAGTGAAAAGTTTTGACCGATCCCCTCCCCCATACATACTGACATTAGTTCACAACATAAGATTCCATATCCTTAAAATGCTAATAGATAAGGTAGGAACCCACTTAAACAAATTGCACCAGGTACTATGGAGTGTGAGAGTGTGTGGATTTACTTATTCCGGTAATTCCAAACTTGGCTGCACATTGAAATCACCCAGATAGCTTAAAAATAAAAAATGATGTCTGCTTCCAAAATCCAGAGATTCATATTTAATTGATCTGGAGTATGACTTGAGCATCCTGATTCCTTAAAAAAAACCCAGGCCATTGTAATGTACAACCAAGGGTGAAAGCTGCCGATTTATTCTTTAAGCAAGTATGCATTGAGGGAAGGCTTTGTGTCATTTACTACGACCACAGGTTTGAATAGTAATGAAATCATTCTTGCTGAAGTCACTAATGACCTCATTGCCATTGGACACTTCTTTGCCTTTACCTTACTTTTCAGTGATATGTAAGATGCTTATCCCCTCCCTCCTTTCCAATAGTCTCTCTTGTCTTAATTTTTGAATATCACTCCTGAGGTGTATTCCTCCCAGCTCCAGAGTTCATCTGACTCAGATTCCTCTGTACTTCCCTTTTTCTGTTAATTAAATTTTGTTACTTTCAAGAATTTCTTACAGATATGGCATCCTTAAGAACCTTGGTCAGCCGGGCTCGGTGGCTCAGCTTGTAATCCCGTGCCTTTGGGAGGCTGAGGTGAGTGGATTGCCTGAGCCCGCGGGTTTGAGACCTGCCTGGGTAGCGAGACCTCATCTCTACAATAAATCAAAAAATCAGCTGAGTGTGGTAGTGCGCGCCTGTAATTCCAGCTACTCGGAAGGCTGAGGTGGAAGGATCACCGGAGCCCAGCAGGTCGAGGCTGCAGTGGCTAGGAGTGGCCACTGCACTCCAGTCTGGGCAACAGAGTGAGACTCCAACTCAAAAAAAAAGAACCTTGGTCATGTGTTTATCTTCAATCTATTGCCTGAAGGTTAGAGACTCTCAATGTTGAACAGTTAGACTTTTCTAAAATTGACCCATATCTGTTTCTGAGTTACTAAGGCCAAAAACTGGAATATGAAAAGTAGCCAACACTATGAAATGGTATGAAATTTTAAGTATAACAAATATAAAACATTTCTGAGCTACATAATTTCATCACTTGTACCTCTTAGGATATAAAAGTGATCTACTATGCAATTGTGTGATTATAATGGAAATTTTCATAGGGTAATACCACATTTAAACTTTATAAAATAATGATGATTTGATTCACGGATACAAAGAGTAGGATTTGAAAATTAGAATAAAAATACCAGGATGTCTTTTGAAATGCTGACTACTTGGAGTTGTTCTATTAATGCTATTTAACTTTCCTGAATAAAGTAAGATATTTCAAAGTTTTAGTTATATGGAGTAGTATTTATGAAATAATTCAAATCACGTTTCTTGGTTTATCAATCCCAAACAAAGTAACATGAGAAAAATATTTCAATAATGTGAAAAATTCTCACAAGGTATATTAGGAAAAAACTTTGTTGTTTTCCACACCTTATTTTTCTACAACTATCTTATGTAGTTTTCCACATTTACTTTTAAAGGCAGAATTCTATAATATCCTGTTTGATACTGTGAAAAGAAGCTAAAAATACTTCTGAGCCCACAAGCCTGATAAAAAATATGATGTTGGCAATTAAAATTGTTAGAGTAATGGGAATTCATCTAGTGAAAGTAAATTTTCTCTATGCAAACTGATTGTCTTTTTTAGATTTGAAACAAATCTGTATTCATGAAGAGTGATTGCATACAAACCACAATATGCCAAGAAAGAAAAAAGGATCCGATAGAAATGTTTCATTCTGGGCAGCTGGTGAAAGTCTGTGCCCCAATGGTTCGGTATTCAAAGTAAGTATTGTTAAATGGTTAATGAACTAAGATGAAATTTTTCTTTAGTGCTCTGAATTTTTGTAAGTTCTATAAGACCACCCACCACATAAGATCTTTAAACTGCCAGCTTTGGAATCATGATCTAGGATTGAGTCCTGGTGCTACCACTTGCCTGATATATATGTTTGACCCCAAGTAAACAACCTCTCCAAGCTTCACTATTTATATCTGTAAATTGTGGTATAACTCCCACAGTGGATGATAAATAGATACAGTGGATGTTAAATAGATAGACACATTCATGTACAGGTTTTTGTTTGAACATAAGTCTTGGGACAGATGCTTAGAAGTGCAATTGCTGACAGTGCTCGGTGGCTCAGCCCGTAATCCCAGCACTTTGGGAGGCCGAAGCAAGTGAATTGCCTAAGCCCGTAGGTTCAAGACCAGCCCAGGCAATTTGGTGATACCTCGTCTCTAAAATAAATCAAAAATTAGCCAGGCATGGTAGCACACACCTGTAGTTCTGTCTACTTGAAAGGCTAAGGTGAATGGATCGCCAGCGTGGCCGTGAGCATGCCACTGCACTCCAACCTGGGCAACAGAGTGAGACTCCAACTCAAACAAAAAAAAAAAAAAGAAAGAAAGAAATGCAATTGCTGGGTCTTATAGTAGTTGTATGTTTAAACTGCCAAACTTTCCAGAATAGCAGTACCTTTTTATACCAACAGCATGTGAAAAATCCTGTTTCTCCTTATTCTCACCAATATTTGATGATGTTACTGTTTTTTATTCTAGAAGTTCTGATAAGTATATAAGTATATAAGTAATTCTTCATTGTGGTTTTAATTTGCATTTTCTTTTTTTGTTATTGTTTGTTTTTTGAGTTGGAGTCTCACTCTGTTGCCCAGACTGGAGTGCAGTGGCCGCTCCCAGCCACCACAGCCTCTACCTGTTGGGTTCAGGCGATCCTTCTGCCTCAGCCTTCCAAGTAGCTGGAACTACAGGTGCGCGCTGCCACGCCCAGCTAATTTTTTTTTTATTTATTGTAGAGATGAGGTCTCGCCTGCCCAGGCAGTCTCGAATCCGCGAACTCAGGCAATCCACTCACCTCAGCCTCCCAAAGGCGCGGGATTACAGGCTGAGCCACCTAGCCTGGCTTGCATTTTCTTTATGGCTAGTGATATGGAACATCTCTTTATGTGCTTATTTACTATCTGTATATTTTTTAAGAAACATTTCTTCATGTCTTTTGCCCATGTTCTAATTAGATTGGGTTTTTTTATACTATTGAATTGGATTTCTTAAAGTTTTTAATTGTTGTAGAATACACATAAAATCAAATTTACCTTAGTCTTTTTTTTTTTTTGAGTTAGAGTCTCACTCTGTCGCCAAGGCTGGAATGCAGTGGCATGCTCACAACCACCCTAGTGTCAACCTGCTGGGTTCCAGCGAACCTTCTGCTTCAGCCTTCCAAGTAGCCGAAACTACAGGCACGCACTGCAAGTGCTGGCTACCACGCCCAGCTAATTTTTTATTTGTTGTAGAGATGAGGTCTCGCCAAGTTGCCCGGTCTGGTCTCCAACTCATGGACTCAGGCAACCACTCACCTCGGCCTCCCAAAGTGCTGGGATTACAGGCTGAGCCACGGAGCCCAGCCGTCATTTTTAAGTGTATAGTTCATTAGCGTTAGGTACATTCATATTGTTGTACATCTAATCACTAAAACTCTTTTCACCTTAGAAAACTGAAACTCTACACACATTAAACAGTAGTGTCCCATTCCACTGTCCCCCTAGCAACCATCATTCTCTTTTCTCTATGAATTTGTCTACTCTAAGTACCTCATGTATGTGGTATTGTATAATAGTTGTCTGAGAGTAACTTTAATTCATTAATATTTTACATGGCATAATGTCCTCAAGGTTCATTCATTTCGTAACATGTCAGATTGTCCTTTTTGAGGCTGAATAATATTCCATTTTATGCATATACTGCTTCAGTTGCTTCTACTTTTTGGCTATTATAAATAATGTTATGAACATGAGTGGGCAGGTATCTCTTTGAGACCCTGCTTTCATTTATTTTTGGCTGTATACCCAGAAGTAGAATTGCTGAATCGTATGGTGATTCTCTGTTATTTTCTGGGAGTTTTATTATATCCATCCTAATAGGAATGAAGTAGTATCTCATTGTGGTGTTGATTTGCATTTCCTTAACGATTAACGGTGCTGAGCATCTTTTCATATGCTTATTGGCCATTTGTATATTTTTGTAGAAATATTTATTCAAATATTTTGTCCATTTTTGCATCAGGTTGTTTGTTCTCTTGTTTACTATTGGTATGGAGAGTTATTTATATTTTCTAGATACTACTTTTTTCACATATATGCAATTTGCTCATATTTTCTCCCAATATGTAGCTTTCATTTTTATCCTCTTAATGGGATCTCTTGCACAACAAAAAGTTTCATTTTGACGAAGTCCAATTTATCAATTTTTCCTTTTGTAAATTATGCTTTTGGTGTCAAGTGTAAGAAATCTTTTGTGTATTTCCAGATCCTGAAGATTTTCTCCTAAGTTTCTTTTTCTGAAGGTTTTACAGTTTTATATTTTCTATGATTAATTTTAATATAATTTTTGTATGAGTGTGAGACCCAGCTTGAGGTTTCTTCTTTTTTTTCCCCCATATGGATATGCAATTACTGCAGCACCATTTGATGAAAAGACTATCTTTCCTCTATTGAATTCTTTGTCAAAAATCAGGGTTTTCTGTTTTGTTCTGATGATTTATATGTCGTTCCCTATACCAATACTATACAGTCTTGAATACTGTAGCTAAAGTCAGGTAGATTGATTCCTCCTACCTTATTTTTGTTTTTCAAAATTGTTTCAGCTATTTTAGTTCTGTCGCTTTCCTAATAAATTTTAGAATAATATTGTCTATGTCTACAAAAAGTCTTGCTGGGGTTTCCATAAGAATTGTTTGAAACTTGTATATCAATCTAGGGAGAATTTGCTTTCTTACTATGTTGGATCTTCCAATTCATGAACACAGTATGTCTTTCCACTGATAGGGATATTTTTTGATTTCTGTCATCAGTGTTGTGTAGTTTTCAGCATACAAGTTCTATACATGTTTTGTAAGACACTCAATTTTTTTTGAGCATTTGTAAATAGTATTTTTAAATTTTAGTGTCCTGTTGTTCATTGCTAGTATATAGAAATATAATTGATTTTTATATGTTGACCTTATAATCATGTAAACTTGGTGAAGTCATGTATTGATTCTAGGAGTTTTTTGTAAATTCTTTGGGATTTTCTCTGTAGACAACCATGTCATTAGCAAAGGACAGTTTTTTTCTTCCTTTTGATTTTATTGCACTGACTAGAAGTTCCTGCACTGTGCTGAATAAGAGTGATGACAGCAGACATCCTTGCCCTGTTCCTCTCTAGGGTGAAAGTGTTCTGTGGGATTTTTTGTGGATGTTCTTTATCAAGTTGAGGAAGATTCCCCTCTATTCCTGTTTTTCTGAGAGTTTTTTTTTATTATTATGAATGAGTATATTTTGTCAAAAGCTTTTTCTGCATCTATATGATCATGTGATTTTTCATTCTCTAGCCTGTTAATATGGTGGATTATATTGATTAATGTTGAATATTGACCCTTATGTTTTAACTTTTTTTCTGATGCCGTGGAGGGGAGTGGTACCACCTCATTAGGGTCGGGTAAAAGTAGAAGTCCAGGTTCTCCACTTTTCCTTCTTTGATATCTGAGGGGCAGGAAGCTCCTCATTAGAACTGGGGAAGGGTGAGAGTTCCAGCTCGCCTTGGTGAGAGTCTCCTCATAACTGCTAGGCAACAATGAAAGTCCTGGTCTCCACTAGGCCTCCTCCAATATCACACACACAGCAGGGAGGGAGAAGGGCACCTCAGCTGGGTAGACATGGAAGTCCAGGCTCCCCATGTGGCCTCCACTGATACCACTAGGCAGGGGGCCCTCACTGGCTAGCAGAGATGAAAGTTTGATCCATACCTGACCATCTTAGATGCCACCGCAGCAGAACAATGGAACACCTGGTACAATCTTGGGAGGGTAGGAAGTCTAGGATTCCCACTTGACCTTTGCTAGTGGAGATGAGGCTGTAACTTTTTCTGTAGTATTTAACTGGAGTAGAATCGTTATGGTCTAAAAGTTTTCTGTTTTTCTAGACTGGCTTTTTCCTGGTCCTTTGGTTAGAACGAACTTTTGTGGGGTCTATTTTAGTGTGTAACCACTGGTGTTTGTTTCCAGGTGGCCTTTAACGCCAAGTCTGGGATATTTGAGGCAAAAAGAAAACCCAGGAAACTCACCACCCTGTCATTCCACAGGTCCCAAGGTCATTAGTCTATCTGCCCTCTCTTCTTTACCTTTCAAATTTTTCTTATGTTTGTTTTATATGTAATAGATATATAGAGTTTTCAGTTATACTTAGCAGGAAGAATTGGGAAAAGTAAATCTACTCCATCTTCCCGTAGGCAAAGCTTTTTCTAATAAATATTTAACAATTAAGTAAAATATTCTAAATGCATAGTTAAGGTTTTATGTGTTCACAGGTTGGCTTTTAGAACTCTAGTAAGAAAATATGGTTGTGATCTGTGTTATACACCAATGATAGTTGCTGCTGATTTTGTCAGATCTGTAAAAGCCAGAGACAGTGAATTTACGACAAACCAAGGTATGTGAAACCCATAATTTGCTGACTTTGTAAAACTTCTTTAAAATTTTTTTATGAACTCAACTATCTTGTCTAATCAGAGACAACACAATTTGGAGATTTTTATATTAAAAGTGTTTAGTTTCTAATGTTTTTCGTGTTATTACTGAATGCCTTATAAACTGTCATTAATATACAAAGTGTGAAGCCAGCCTTTTTTAAGGCTCCATCCTCTCACCAAGGCTATTAGAGTACATTCCTGTTTCACTGCCGGTAATTTTTCCCATTCCAAACTATCCTCCAGACAGCCCAAAGTTATCTATCTAAAATGCAAATTTGATCTTTTCTCTTCCATGCTTGAAATCGTCTTGGCCCTCTCATTTCCTAAAATAATGTTCTCATAATGTGATTCCCAGACCAGCAGCATCAGTGTCATCTGGACACTTGATAGAAAGGGAAATCATCAGACTCTATCCCGGACCTACTGAATCAGAAACTCTGGGTTGTCATCCAGCAGTCTGTGTTTTGAAAACCCTCCAAGTAATTCTGAGCTTGTTAAAAGTTGAAAACCACTGACGTAAAGACTAAATTCCAGCACCTGAGAATAATATACAAAGTCTTTTGTGATCCAGCCTCTGAATACATTTTCTTATCTTCCATCAGTTTATCCCCACAGCCCACTGACTTTATTAGTCAAAAATACTAAATTATTTTAAGTCCCTGAACATGCCCTGTTCCCACTTTCCTTCCTAGAATATCCTAGAATTCCCAGTTATGCTTGTCTCCGAGATTGCTCTCTTTCTGGCAAACTAGTTTATACTTTTTAATCCAGTTCTCAAAGTTTGTGGCCAAGGAACCTTTTTTGGTCATCTTCCACTCATGTCCTCTCTCTTAAGCACAAGCTTTTATGTTGCACTTAACCCTACCTTATTATAATTTCCTCTTTATATGCTTAGTTCTCCCACTAGATCCTGGACCCTTGAAAGTTGGAGCTATAGAAATAGTTTAATGTGTATCCTCAGCATCCAGCTCTGTGTTGAAAATATCTTAGACCAGAAATGGTTGTCAAATTAAAATTCTGTAACTCTCTTGAATTACAAAAGGGAAAGCACCCTTCATCTCCATAAGGAAAAAAAAATCTCCTATACCATTTTAATCCAGTAAATCAGTGGATTGCCATAGAAATCTTGAATAAATGCAAAAGGGTAATTCCCTGAAAACAGTATTTTGATCAAGACCTAGTGATTTTCATTCAGATAGTCCTCAAAAAGACTTTTGAAATGTTAAAAATAAGTCTATCCAGAGTTTATAACACTAACCCAAAGATGAGAAAAATATTTTAATTAAAACCTCGGAAAACCCTAATACATTTGGCTATATTAAAATTTAAACTTTTATATGTAAGAACACACATACTCAAAGACAAACTGGGAAAAATGTTTATAACATGATAGATAGCAAGCTAATTTCTTTGTTTTATTTTTAAAAATTACAAATAAAAGGAACAAGTATAAGTGAGAGAAATATTGCATATAGAAAAATGTGCAAAGAATATGAAGAGACTTCACAAAAATATACAAATGTTGAGTCTACACTGTAGAATAAGTTGTTAGGAAACAAGAACTTTCATCCATATTGGTATTATCTATATTGGTAAACTCTTAGTAGATAGTTTTGTAGTATCTATCACAATGTTACATATTGCAGGCCCATTCAACAGTTCTACTCCCAAGAATTTATCCTGTGAATATATTCACAAAAGCTTGTATGCAAGAGTATTCTCACTGCAGTATTGCTTGTAAGAGTCACAAATAAAACAGTCTAGAAGTACACTCTATGGTCTATTCATGCAGTGGACTATCCCACTAAAAAGAAAAAAAACAGGTCTGAGTACATCTCCCAAATACATCAGGAAAGAAACGAGTAGTCAGCATGGCACTGTATATAGAAGAATCACATTGGCTTAAATTTTACAGACATACGTAAAATTGTACTGGAATATAATATTCTTACTCTCATCTTTGGGAAAGGGTTCTCTTTGTCAGGGTGTTAGAATACTTCTCATTGTATCAAATTTTGTACTGTTTGAATATTTTAACCCTACTGTAAATTGCTTTTAATTTAAAATTTAAAAATTGTTGTAATTTATATTATTTGAACAGATGGTTCTTAGGCTAAAAATAGTTACTGTAATTTTATCCTGTACAAATTTTAGAATTGGGTATGGTATGGTTGTTGTTGGTTTTTTTTTTCCTGTGAATTTTAATGTTGAGCTATTCATTTTATCAGGTGATTGCCCATTGGTTGTTCAGTTTGCTGCTAATGATGCAAGAATTTTATCTGATGCTGCTCGTATAGTCTGTCCTTATGCCAGTGGAATAGACATTAACTGTGGTTGCCCTCAGAGGTAAAGCTCAAAGAAGTGGGAAGAATTTTCAAAAAGGTTAGGGAAAGACTGTGTGAACATTGTAAAATATCTTGCTAGTTTTCCAGAAATTAAAAAATAAGGAAAATAGAGTTAAAGCATCAGGACTCAAAACAAGAAGGAAGGAAAAACTATAGAGACATATAACTTAGGAATGTAACTTCAAAGGTCTTTTTCTGGTGGCTGAAATGATGTGTAGACAAGTGTTTTGTCTTTCCTTACCACTAGAATTTTCTTGTGGATCCACCTTGAATTTCATCCATAAGTAGTTATATGAGAATCTAATGTTTAACAGCAATCCCTAAAATTTATTTTTTACTACCATGTCAGATATACTTGCTGTGTAAACTGATTCAGTGATTTGAAAGTTCATCACGTTTTCTCCTAATTAATTTTCCTTACAAAAATACCTTAGTATAATTACTTTTTTATTTCCTATACCACAGTTATTTGGTCTGGTTTAAGTAACTGGGTGTTGGTAGGATACATTTAACTTGACAGTAATATTCCTACTATATTGGCACTGTACTTGGTTATCTGTCAATAATTCAAGATGTGTCCAATGAATAAAATCAAAGTTTTAAGTACAGCATAATCCAAATCAGATTAGACATATTTGTATACTCATTAGGAGAGTTAAATAAGCTGTTTAGTGGTGTTGGAATGCTGTAAGCCAAAAATATCTTTCTACTATTGAGACTCATAAAACCTCTTGTTATACACAATAAACATCAAATTTGGAATTTAAAAAATCTTAAGTAATTGCAATTAATTACAGATACTTAAATCTGTTTTGGTTCAATGAATTTTAATTTAATATTCTCACTTGCCAACAAAAACCATTTCTTCTGAGTACTTTTTGATCTGGGAACGTGGTTTCCTAATCTCATATTGATCTACTTAGAAATGTTGGATCTGTGAATTTTAAAATCTGCTTCTATTCCACATCACTAGAGAAATAGATACACTTGTTTTTCATTGCTTATAGGATTTTATCTTCTTTTTCAGCTATTTATAATTAATTTGTTCTTATGTTTTGTTCATAAAGGTGGGCAATGGCAGAAAGCTATGGGGCTTGCTTAATAAACAAGCCAGAGCTTGTTCAAGATATGGTGAAACAAGTAAGAAATCAAGTGGATAACCCTGGGTTTTCGGTTTCTATTAAAATAAGGTAAAAACAATATTTCAACCTATTAACAAGAATAGCCCAGTACTTAGGAAATAAAAGAATATTCCTTTTGTCTGGTGATGTGGGAGTGTCTACCCTAAGTAAATTGGTAGCTGGTAAATGGAAATGTTGAAACAAGACATTGAGTAAATGAGTATATACCATAATTTTTAATGTATTATCCTGAATAGCTTCCTTTTTGTATTTTTAAAAAAAATTAAAACATTCCTTTATTTAAAAGTTTTGCTAAACCCTCAACTTCTTCCATGTACTATTTAATTAATGCTAAGAAACATTCCTGGTATTGAGTAGAAAATAGGAAAAATATTTGCACTAAAACTTGACAATGAAAAGAAAAAACCAGAAATCAGCTTTTATGTTCTCCCACTTGGGGCTTGGGGCATTCATATCAAATATTATAAATTAGCATCTTTCAATTCCTCTGTGATGCTACTTTGATTGCTCTTTTATTTATCAAAGCCAAAAGGTAGGAGCACTAGGCAAGATAAAAAGTATTTGCCATCCTATTGTTACATAAGTGAAATAGCTAAATTTGAGTTATTGGGTAGGAACTGATCCCTGAAGAAAACCTTACTGATAGTGGTAAGAAGTGATAATATGAAAATATATAAATAAGTATAAAATATAGGAAATATATAAATATGTTCATATTATAATATGAAAATATATAAATTAGTATAAAAGATAGCAAAGCTAACAAAATAATTTAGTAGATGAAATATCATTTTAGTTCATTAATTTTAGCATTACAGTTTGTGTGCTGTGAACAAATAGATATAATTTTGAAATTGTAGGATCCATGATGACCTTACAAGAACTGTAGATCTTTGTCGAAAGGCTGAAGCTACAGGAGTTTCCTGGATTACAGTCCATGGAAGAACTGTTGAAGAAAGACATCAGCCAGTACACTACGACGCCATTAAAATAATCAAGGAAAATATGTCTATACCTGTAATTGCTAATGGAGACATCAGAAACTTAAAAGAAGCAGAAAATGTGTGGCAGATTACTGGGACAGATGGTAAGAAATAAGTACTTGGATTTTTTTAACTTTTAACTAAGAAAAATCAAGTGAGAGTGGGGAAATAATGTCATTTTGATTTTTATTAGTTTTCACATTAACACTGAGCCATATTTTTCCATTGTACTGATGTAAGTCAAGCAATTTATGTAAATGATGTTAACCTTTCTACTTAGAAATACTAAGTTATTTTAAATTAATTCAGTTACTTTTCTGATTCCCCTCATATCTAGTGACCAGTTAAGAATCTTGAAGATAGCCCATTAGAAAAATAAAGCACCTAGAATAGAAATGCGAGTTAGTCAAGAGTGATCTTAGGAGCCATAGGAACCCTGGAACTGCTATATAATTTAATTATCCCCTTAAATTAATGGCATGCTAAACACTATGATAGTGACTGCTAGATGGGAGAATTCAGATAAACTTTAAGCAACCCAGTGTATGATAGTCTGGATTTCCCCTAAAGAAAAACTAAAGACTAACTGTTTAATGTAGAAATATTAAGAAAAATAAAGAATTCTGTAAGCACATTTAAACTCTCTTGGTTTACAAAAGGTACCAAAATAAATTGTAATTGAATTAAACAGTCTAATGTATTAAGGGAACTGTGAAACCTTGTAATAAAACTTTATTTTTTAAATATTCTCAATTTGTTTCATTGAGTTTGAACTAATAACTATGGATTCTTAATGTATAGACAGATGTGGTGTGCTTTAATTTTTAGGTGTGATGGCTGCAAGAGGACTCCTAGCAAACCCGGCTATGTTTGCTGGCTATGAGGAAACCCCTCTGAAATGCGTCTGGGACTGGATTGACATTGCTCTTGAACTTGGAACTCCTTACATATGTTTCCATCAACATTTAATGTACATGATGGAAAAGATAACTTCAAGGCAGGAAAAAAAAATATTTAATGCTCTGTCAAGCACATCAGCAGTTCTAGATTACCTTACAGATCATTATGGCATTTGACAGAACTTCTCAAATTATTTTAATATATACTTTATTGTATACCTATAATGAAACCACAGAAGGTCATGTTTTGGTTTTTACTTTAAATCAATGGCTGTCAAATATTAGTATAAAAACAGTTCCTGGGAGCATGGTTAAAAATCAGGCCTAGGCTCCACCCTTAGAAATTCTGGTTTAGTAGATCTGAGGTGAACCAGAAATGTACAATTTTAAAGAAGACTCTGAATCTTTTTATATAGATTGGGGACAGGGATTTTTTTTCCTAAAGGAGATCATGTTTTTAACATTTTAAAATAAAGTTTATTTTAATACTAAGAAAGTATGACTCATTTAGTATCTATAAGTTAAGAAGTATGTAGGTGCAGAGAAGTGGTAGAACAAATGCCAACATCTATATAAAATGAAAAAGAAGAAATTGTGAATAGAATTGTACTCAGGATTTACATTAAAAATGCAAACTGGAAAATCAGATTGGTACTTTCTAGTTGAATTACACACCTCAAGTTATTTCTTTTAGATGTAACTGAATTTAATTATCTATGTTTTCTATAATTTAAAGGTAAGATTTAGCCAGGTGCAGGGGCTTACTCCATAATCTCAACACTTAGGGAGGCTAAGGTGGGAGGATTGCTTGAGCCCAGGAGTTCGAGATCAGCCTAGGCAACACAGTGAGACCTCATGTCCACAACAAAATAAAAAAATCAGCTGGGCATAGTGGTCCACACCTGTAGTCCCAGCTACTAGGGAGGCTGAGGCAGAAGGATTGCCTGAGCCCAGGAGGTCAAGGCTGTAGTGAGCCATGATGGTGCCACTGCACTCCAACCTGGGCAACAGAGTGAAACTCCCACTCAGAGAAAAAAAAAAATGACATTAAATTTGGTACATTTCAAGCCTTTTAGATCCTTAGACGATTGAGAGCTTGATAAATATACCTGTTACCTAAAAGGATAAAATTAATTACAACCTCCCACATCTTAAGTATACAAAATTTGGTAGCTAGCTTGAAGATGATTATATATTTGAAATATTTTCTAGAGAATAGTAATCCATAAAACCTGAATTTTCATACTCTGTTTTTAGTGATGTTATTTTTATGTCTCCTAGCAATTGACTGTAACTTTAAAATCCCATGGATTGGGATTGTTATCATTATTGATGAATGTGCACTGCAAGAATTAAGTAGACTGAAATTAAAGTTTGTGATTAAAATATTCTGTTGCCAACATGAAAACTTTTAAGGAGACAGTATTCTAAAACTGCTTAATTCAAGAATTTAGGGATATTTAAGCACTGTGCTGCCATATTTTTCTTAAGTACATTTTGTTTTCACTTTTCAATTAATGCACTTTTAAGGATAACTAGATTTTTCATTTGATAAGAATATAAACAAATAGAGAAGTATGGTAAGAACTTAGTTTGGTGTTTTAAAATGAACTCAAGTGAATTATACTAGTGTGAACACAGCAGCATCACTAGAGTAAGATACACAACATTTAGAAGGGCAAGGAGCTATTTCTGTTAATGTGACCAAGCAGATGTATGATAAATTACAAAAAAACACCCCCTTAAGTGCTTTTTATATTCTATATCTATTTTCAATATTTGTTTAATGTTCCCCAAGTAATTGTCTCCAGGAGGATAGTACTTTTATTTACTTTCCTTATATGTTGTCAATATTGGGGAAGAAAACTTTAATAATTTGTATGCACACAATTGGAAAACCAGGAAAATGGTAATTGAAGAAATATACCCATACCTACCTTTCCGACCAGTCCCCAAACCACCCTAGGTTTATTGCCTCTTCCCAGCCATGTACAAGAATGGGAATACCTACGGAACAGGTTGTGACTCTGCAGATGCTCTCACTTTCTCTAGAACAAAATGTTGCACGACCACCTAGTCCTGGCCCCTTATTAAATACAGTTTAGCCCTGGACACAAAACAGTTCCCACTATTAAGAGTTGTAGCAGGAAGGAGTGCGTCCTAAGCACGTGCACTGAACTTGACCTTCGCTGCCGAGCATTCTTTCCTGGGCCCGGACCCTACTAAGCTCCATCAGGGACAGTCAGGACTCCCCCACCCCCCTACCTCCCATTCTCCCCTCCCCTGCGGAACCACACTTTATTAGAAATGTGAAGCCTGTCCCCCAGAACAAGCATCGGGTCAAAAGTCTGAGTCATCCCCGGACTCCACCGCCAACTAGCAAACAATTGTTGACGATAAACGTAGTCGCGCCGCCTGTGACCTCAGCCGCGACGGGAACCCGGGGGCAGGGGTGGGGGTGG